CACACAGCTGGGAGAGCTGACTCCAACTGACCAAAGGGATATTCCATACCATACAACATCATGCTCAGCATATGAAGCAGGGGGAAGAATAAGGAAGGGGGGAACATTTGCAGTTATGGTGTCTGTCTTCCCAAATGACCATTACATGTGATAGAACCCTGCTTTCCTGGACATGGCTTACAGTGAGGTGAATAAAATACAACAAAACCAAACCTTTCCTTCTTGAGAGATGCTACTATGCTTAACATAGTCAGACAAACCTACATTGGCACTGGATTAGCACTTCTCTTTCCTCTTAAGCAGAATTTCCATTTAAGCAGATTTTCCAGTAAAATGAAGATGTATCAACTCTGGAGAGAGCTCTTACATCTCAGACTTAGGTTGATTGTTCAGATATTGTTCAATTTACTGGTTGTCATATTCTCTAATAATTTTATATTAAATGTAGAATTATCTACTCTTTTCAAGATCTTCCTGGGATACATTCAAAGAAAATCCTCTGTTTCCCAAAACATAGTTTATCTTTTTCACTATGGCGAGAATCATAATTAATAAGGAAGAGTCATACAGCTTCTCAAGTGGCAATTTAATTCACTAATTTGCAAAAATTTCTTCTGTTTAGGAAGTACAGGTTTTGAATTATGGCATTCCAATACTCTCGCAACTTTTTAAGGGTTTTTCCTGGCTCTTATTTTTTCATACTATTAGTAGTCAGTCTTTCAGAGAGAAATATTAAAAAGAAATGCGAAGATAAGGAATGGTAGTAGGTAAAATGAAAATTTATTACACACAAATAATTCAGGCTTCCTCTCCTATCATTACTATTGCCCATATAATGCCTTAAGTGGGCACTGAATCTTTTATTTCATTTATAATTAAGGTCTCAGCAGAATAGGCAAAATTGCACTTTGCACTTTTACAGCATTTGGTCTCAAGTTTCAACATTGCTTTCCACTTTATGGTCAATAAGACATATTACAAGCCTGCCTTCCCAAAACATATGCCAAGCTGCTTTTAAAACATATTTATTTTTTAGTAGTAGTAAGGGCAGAAAATGTGGAGATAGTAAACCCCTTGCTAATGTTCTCTCTAAGTTATTGAGATCTCAATTCTTGCAAGTGAAGAATCTGATGAATAACATCATTATCGTCAACTTTAGATGGAAGTAATAAAGATGTGTATTTAAAACCTTTCTGCACTGCAGTAGCTTGGGCTTGGCTCACTGTCACATTTCATTTTAAGTAGCTTAGGTATCAAAAGAAAGACTGAGAAATGTGCCCTGGATTTATTTATTAGGAATGAAGCACCCAACAGACTATTTTGAGCTGAAAGCAGCTCCATGGTCAAGACATAGGACTAGTCAGGGCTAATTCTTTACTCAAAGCAGAGTGGATGATAATATGCAGACACATAAATGTTAAGCAAAAAGTGGTAATTGCTGTCTGATCTGGACTGTAGCAAGAACAAAAGAACTAATCCTTCCCTTAAAACTAGTGATATTAAGCAAATAATAACAAAATCTCATACAAAATTGATATTTACAACATTCAATTCAGTTGCATGAACATTTACTATACTTTGACTGACATTTTTCCTTATGACACTTTTAACTCTTCCTCTGAAAAAGCCTGTTAAAATGCTTAATTTAATGCTAACACAATTTATGTCACAATATCTAAGTATAAATTTTATGATTAACCTTAACATCATAAAATTTAAAGGCCCAATGGTATATCAGAATATTAAATCTGCTGAGATATCTAAGTTCTTCTCCAGTGTATGATCTTAAAAAAACAATTCCGTCTAATGACTCCTGAGGTACATTACTGGTGACCAGCCTCCAGCTGGACTTTGTGCCACTGACCATAATCCTTTGACCCTGGCAGTTCAGACTAATTTCAGACCACCTCACTGTCCTTTTATCTAGCATGTACTTCATCAGTTTGTTTAAGAGAATGTTACAGGAGGCTGTTGAAAGCCTTGGCAGAGTTGAGATAACATCCACTGCTGTCTACCTCTCCACTGAACTAGTCATGTCATCGTTGAAGGCAATCAGGTTTGTCAAGCATGATTTCCCCTTGGTAAATTCATACTGACTACTCCCAAACCATTTCTTGTCCCTCATATGTTTGGAAATGGTTTCCAAGATTGTTTACTCCATCACCATTCCAAGAAACAAGATGAGGCTGACTGGCCTATAGCTCCCCAGATCCTCCTTCTTTCAGATAGGAATGATATTTGCTGTCTTCCAAACATCTTCCAAACTTCCCCCTGATTGTCCTGACCTTTCCAAGATTACTGAGTATGGCATCGCAATGACATTGGCCAGCTCCCTCAGCACTTGTTGTTGCATCCCACCGGGTACCATGGACTTGTGTTTGTCCAATTTGTTTAAGTGTTCCCTAATCCAACCCTCATCCACCAAGGCTAAAGTTTCCTTGCTCCAGACTTTCCCACTCACCTTGAGGGCCTGGGATTGCTCAGTGCCAGTCTTACCAGTAAAGACCAAGGCGAAGGCATTGAGCAGCTCAGTCTTTTCTGTGTCCTTTGTTATTAGATCCTGTGCCCCATTTAGCAGAAAGAATAGCACAGTAGCATACACCAAATCATTTTGAGGCAGTAAAAGCAAAAAAGTAAAAGGAAAGTGAAGGTTAAAACAGAGGGTTCAAATTGATATTGAGGCAGGTCGTCTGTGGAACGGAACAGTATAAGATCACACAGTTAACTTTTATAATGCAGAGGTATAGGATTAAGATTATGAAATTCATAATTTGTCCAAAATTTGTCTTTTTTTTTAATTATTGTAACCTTAGCAATGCTCATTTATCTAGTTTTGTGAGAGAAATTGAAATAGAAGCAAAATAAAAGGGCATGCTCATGTGCATACACCAAGCTATTTCTGGTGTCCTCTAGCAAACAGAATACAGAAGTCATGACCGAAAAAGCTATATACAGGTTGATATAGCAAGGCACTACCTATAACTTCACGTGCACAGAAAGCATATATAATCTCTGCCTTCTCATTACAATCTTGCTTTTCTCTGAAAGCAGAAAAGTATAATTAAGTGAAATTATAAGAGAGACTGTAATGCAGGTAAATGTCCCCTCACAGTAACTATAAAATTCATCTTCACCTGTGATCCAGAGCCAAATCTGCAACCAGGTCTGCACAAATGAATACATTAACCTACTGAGTTATCTGTTCTATTAGCATGATTTAATAGAAGGTATTATTATTTTTTGAAAACCGCAATATTGTAAGTAAATTGTTCTTTTTGGGTGCCAATAATGGGGAGCCTTTAGAACTAAGTAATTGTTAAAAACCTATTTTACAGTTGCTGATAACTATATGACAACTCAAAAAAACAAACTCATTTTAATATTCTAATTTATTACATACATACTCTTAGGCAACTAAGACAACACTTTCAATTAATTGGCTCCTTAAAATGCATCATCAGTAGATATTCCACTTGGACCGAGACATTTGCATTTTTTCGCCCAGTAGCGTCCATCGGATCTGCGCTTTATGGTTCAGAATCACTCCACTCATCTTCAGACATTATAACTCAAGTAAAAGTTAAATGTTAAGTACGACGCATTTTGATGCTCATATTCTCCCCACCAAGTTCCCACAGACAGAACAAGGTTAGCCATGCTTCAACATCTAGGTATTACTAGAGTCTACAATAAAGAGAACAGACAGTGGGGCTGAGGAACATATACATGTGGCATTTATGGTGAGCCACAACACTGGCCAGGTAGCTAGCCATTGTCTCTGCAAGTTGTCATCTATACACACAGGGCTCAGATAACACCCAGCAAATCAGAGTGCTTGCAACTGTAAGACAGCTCCACTAAAGCAGGCACTAGACACAGATAATAAGAAAATAATATATTGCAAATACAGCTACTTACTGTAGGGTACGTTACTTTAGCTAGCGAAGCTCCCCGAGTTAATCATAAGATCAGACTAGAAATCTGTTTCTATTGGATGCTGGGGGTATAGACTGACCTTTCAATCTTCTCAGCAGAATTATTCAACATATTTGACAATATCTAGTATAATTTGCTTCTATAAGATAAAATGAGAAAAGCAATGGGATGTTCAAAGCACATGCAAGGTAGATAATATGCCCAAATAAGACATGGATGATGATAGGCAAATAGATTATTCATAATTCAGACAGGTCAGAAATCACTCAAGGCAAAAATTACACTAGACAATCTTTTCCATATGTGGCTTATGAGCCATTCTTCCGGAGTTCTTCCCTGATCATCATCAAGACTGCCCTTTCTCAGTGTTAACTAGCCATCCAAAATTAAAGCTGAAAGAGACAATGAAGTTATGGTCAAGAAGCAAAAAGGAGAAATCATACAAGGAAATAGAAGTAATAATTACTACTTGTTGAACAGTTGATCAAGTTCAAATACCAGAACTGCCTAGGTCAGTCTTAAAAGGAACAGATCATTATGTCTAACCTTACTCAAGCAATCATGAGGCATCAAACTGACATTGCAAGTTGAGCAAGATTTATAATCTGGAAGCTTATTCTCCATTACCTTCCCAATACAAAAATCATTCTAAAAATTCTGAAAAGCTAGTTCTTAGCATACCACTAATAAGCACAAATACTGACAACTGCATGTAACTATAAACAGGAAAATGAAGAGAAAGTCACTACTGTTGGCACTTCCATCCTGAGATCATTAATGGAAAGAAGAAAGTGAGAAGGCTCACCACACTTCACCCTTTAGGCCCAGTTAGAAACTACAAGAACACACAGAACACAGAAGATATTTCATGAACAGTGCTAGTCAAAAGACGCTGATCTTGGAACACAGAAACACAAGGAAAAGAAATATATATCGATAGGCAATAATTTCTCCTCCAGAAAATACTTTCAGTGGCAAGTTGTCACGACATCTCTATGAATAACAATTTAAAAGTCTACAAAAGGAGTACTAGCAGGAAGAGTATAGTGAAAGAATTATCTCACCTTTTTGGCAATCTTTCCACACGGTTTTTCGGTTCTTCTCATAATGTTTATTTAACCAGGTGAGGATGGTTCGTTCATGTGGAGAATATATATTACTGGATAAAGGTTCTGATTTTATTCTTGGCATGTTCTGCATGCTTTCCAAACTGAACAGATCAGTGAGATTAGGTGAAGAAACACGTGGAAGAACAAACACCTGAAATTAGAAAAAGTGTTTTTAAGCACGAACTGTAAAAAGAATAATTTCAAGTTGAATTATTAAAAAAACACTTCAAACTCAAAAGGTTTTCCAATTTAGAAAAGGTTTAAGAGATTACACATTAGCATAAATGTATAACACACAAGAGAACAGATTTGCTGAGGCTTTAGGGGATTCCTTTGCTTCCTTAAACAAAATGCAAACTGAAGCTTCCAAATGGTCTTGGAAGTCTGGAAGAGGTCCCAGTCAACTGGAAGCTGGCAAATGTTGTCCCAGTTTTCAAGAAGGGTAAGAAGGAAGACCCTGGTAATAACAGGCCTGTCAGTCTCACTGTAGTGCCAGGTAAAGTTACTGAGAAGGTTATTCTGGGACTTATTGAAAAACACTTGAGAGACAATGCAGCCATTGGTCATAGACAGCAGGGGTTCATGAGGGCAAAGTCCTGCTTAACCAACTTAATTTCCTTTTATGACAAGGTCACCCATCTAGTTGACCAAGGGAAGCCAGTAGATGTGGTGGTTTTGGCTCCCCAGGGAAGTGGTCACAGCACTAAGCCTGTCAGAGTTCAAGAAGCATCTGTACAACACTCTTAGTCATATGGTTTACTTTTAGGTAGTCCTGCAAGGAACAGAGAGTTAGACTCAGTGACCCTTATGGCTCCCTTCCAAATTCAGATATTCTATGATTCTATGATTCTAAGTATTTTTTGTTTCCAACGTTTTTCCAGGTTTTCATGAACTGGATGAAATCACTGGACCCATCTGGATTTCAAGAATTACTACATATATTCTAGCCAAAGCACTAATTACTAAACCGCTATACTGATCGCCAGTGCAATTTATAGACAAACTTGAAATGATATCTTTCATGATCCAGATGCTCATTTAGGTCCAAATTATACTGACTGTTTCTCCTCAAAAAATAAACATTAAAATGCCTACAATTAAATTCTTGGTACTCAGAGGTCCTTGATTAAGTCTTGCATGAACATACATTTTAAAAAAAAATATAAACATATGTATAGAAAATAATAAAGACGTTAAAAGTACAAATTCTACACAATTACCTTTGATTTTTTTTCCCTAGCTTAAACGATAGCATAGAAAAAGGTATTTGAAGGAACATCACAGAACTTGATTTTCAGGATGTTGACGAAGTCAACAGCTATGGTTCCATCCTCCCTCATCGAAGAGGTCTCAGGCTTGACCACCTTGACCAGTGACTAAGACTATCAAGGACCATGGCCATAAATGTTAACTACACTGCATCAGCTCCATAGTGCCATATATTCACAGATAATTTAGGATGAGTTTGCTAAAGACTAATTGTTTGGAGAAGGAAAAAAGAAGAAAAAAACAGCCTAACAATTAATCATTGACAATGTCCATTGACAATGAATGCCAATCAGCAAAATGTAATTTTGAAGTGTGAATTGGGCCCAGTTTCTCAGTCCCTTAAACATCCCCAGTGATGTGTAATTCCCTGATACATATATACATAAAGAAAAAGCTTTCATTTCATCTAAACGGCTTGCACCCCTTTTAAAATTGTTTCTCTTCATATTAGTTTCCAATACCAGATTTTAACAGGTACATTAGGAAAGCATAAGGCAAGGTGTTAAAACTTTTTAATCCCTCCATTTGCTGCAGATAGAGAGGAACACTCATATATAGTATGATGCAGCTACAGCCATGTGGCTTCACGGTTTCCACATTTACATCTGGATTTTTTTTTTTCCAGGTGACGTGAAGGACTGTCATCCATTGCTTTCAAGTTTTTTCTGGAAAAAAAATTTTGTAATACACTAATATACAAAACCAAGTTAAATATTAATGTACATGAGACACAAATTATAGCATCCATATTTAACTACAATTAAAAAAAAAACCTGAGTCACATTGAAATTCCTTTTTAAATCCCAAAGCATTTTAGTTCAGCTTCATCTAGTTCCATGCAGAGATGGCTGAGCTAACTTAATTTAAATATTCGGATTTCTCTCCATGGCACTTTATTGATTTGCATAGAATTATCTTAAGAGAAAAAGAAATCTCAAACTTTTGTATCAGCAACCTGAAATACAAATCTGAACAGCAAAAAGACGCAAGCAAATATCTACTACTTCATGCTTTCTCAAAAGGCAGTGTCTTTGCAAATTAATTTATTGCAACGTTCCTCCATCAGTATAACCTATCAAAAGGATCAAAATAGGAAAGAGTAATGGCAACTATATTTAGAAGAAAATATGAAACATTATTTACTCATAAAATATTATTTTACTGTCTCTTAACAAGTCCAATCCATACTACTCCAAGATGCCCACGTATCTACTCCTATTGAGACCCTGTTGAGGGACCAGGACACTACCATACAGTGGCTTTTCAGAGCATACTGTATTTATATAAAAAAATCAGCTATAAGTTTAGGAAATGTTATTACTTATAATTATAAAAAGCATCCTTATTACTACATGCTCATTAAATTTAAACATAAATTGTCTTTACTGAAAATCTGGCCTGACCCAAGGGCTAAATTACCACTTCTGCTGTCAATGTCCATGTCTTTCCATTAGTCTAGACTTCCAAGAATTGTAGAATACCATCAGTATCTTAGCCCTTGCTCAAAAAGAGAACTAAAAGTATATCTTTATGATTGATGAATTTCCCCTTTTATTCTCTGCAGGTTCTACCCTTTCTTCAGAATGAAATTAATTTTCTGTTTTTCTGAGATGGATTTATGTATATGTTTTTTTCCTCCAGAACTTCAGCCACAGCAGAAGTTTTCACAACAAACAAATGGACCATAATGCACCAGTTATGGGCATGAAAGCTATATGAGATGACATTTCAGTTGCTAAAGAATAATATTAAGTATTTCTAATAACAGCATTTTATTTTGAGAATAAAAGTGGCTAACAAAATAGATGAATTTTTTTAACATTTTCTGAAATTTGCAGCATGTGAGTAAGAAATGATTCTGTTTCATCTTATCGTGCTTGAAATCAGGACCTCCACGGGCTGCAGGGCAACAACCTGTTTCACCATGGTCTTCTCTACTGGCTGCAGGGGAATCTCTGCTCTGCTGCCTGGACCACCTCCTCTCCCTCCTTCTTTACTGATTTTGGTGTCTGCAGGACTGTTTCTCTCACACCTCCTCACTCCTCTCTCTGGCCACTGTTGCGCAGCAGTTTTTTCCTCTTCTAAAATATGTTATCCCATATTTGCATTGGCTCAGCCTTGGCCAGCAGCAGGTCTGTCTTGGAAGCTGACTGGCATTGGCTCTGTAAGACGTGGGCAGCTTCTGCAATCTTTGCACAGAAGCCACCACTGTAGCCCCTTGTTAACAAAACCTTGCCACGTAAACCCAATACAACACCTGACAGATTCAAGCCATTTCAAGTTGCCTATTTTTTAGAGTTCCAACTCATCAGGAAAAAAAAATATTGAAAACAAATGCATACTATTAACTCTGGGTTTTTTTCTGCTCTGTGCTACTCTGTCATGTAGCTATGAGCAATTCAGAAACTTAAAAAAAATAGCAACATGACTTGCTTTCTGGTCACAATCGTAGAATCATGGAATCATAGAATAGTTTGGGGATCTTTAAAGGCCATCTAGTCCAACCCCTCTGCAGTAAGCAGGGACATCTTCAACTAGATCAGGTTGCTCAGAGCCCCGTCCAACCTGACCTGGAATGTTGCCAGGGATTGGGCATCTACCACCTCTCTGGGCAACCCGTGCCAGTGTTTCACCACCCTCATTGTGAAAATTTTCTTCCTTACATCTAGTCTAAATCTACCCTCTTTTACTTTAAAACCATTACCCCTTGTCCTATCGCAACAGGCCCTGCTAAGATGTCTGCCCCCATCTTTCTTATAAGCCCCCCTTAAGTACTGGAAGGCTGCAATAAGGTCTCCCTGGAGCCTTCTCTGCTCTAGGCTGAACAACCCCACACTCTCTCAGCCTGGCCTCACAGGAGAGGTGTTCCATCCCTCAGATCAGTTTTGTGTCCTTCCTCTAGACTTGCTCCAACAGGCCCATGTCTTTCCTGTGCTGAGGGCTCCACAGCTGGATGCAGGACCCCAGGTGGGGTCTCACCAGAGCAGAGTAGAGGGGTAGAATCGGCTCCCTCGACCTGCTGGCCACGCTACTTTGGATGCAGTCCATGACACAGTTGGCCTTCTGGGTTGCGAGCGCACATTGCTGGCTCATGTCCAGATTTTCATCCACCAGGACCCACAAGTCCTTCGCGGCAGGGCTGCTCTCAAGCCGTTCATTCCCCAGCCAGTATTGATGCCGGGGGTTGCTCTGACCCAGGTGCAGGACCCTGCACTTGGCCTTGTTGAACCTCATGAGGTTCACATGGGCCCATTCCTCGAGCGTGGCCAGGTCCCTCTGGATGGCATCCTGTCCCTTAGGTGTGTCAACCGTAACACTCAGCTTGGTGTTGTCTGCAAACTTGCTGAGGGTGCACTTGATCCCACTGTCTATGTCAGTGATGAAGATATTAAACAGTACTGGTCCCAGTAGGGACCCCTGCAGGACACCTCTCATCACCTATCTCCATGTGGACATCAAGCCATTGACTACTACCCTCTGGATGCAACCACCCAAACAATTCCTCATGTACCCAACAGTCCACCCATTAAATCCATCTCTCTCCAATTTAGAGAAAAGGATTGTGGGGGACCGTGTCAAACGCCTTACAGAAGTCCAGATAGATGACATCCGTAGCTCTTCCCTTGTCCATTGGTATGGTCACTCCATCCTAGAAGACCACTAGGTTGGTCAACAGGACTTGCCCTTGGTGAAGCCATGCTGACTGTCTTGAATCACCTTCCTGTCCTCCATGTGCCTTAGCATAGTTTCTAGGAGGATCTGTTCCATGATCTACTCAGGCACAGAGATGAGGCTGACAGGTCAGTAGTTCTCAGGGTCCTCTTTGCAACCTTTTTTAAAAATGGGTGCAGTGGGTTTTGGATATCTCCAAGGATGGAAACTCCACAACCTCTCTGGGCAACCTGTTACAGAGTGTGACCACCCTTGAAGTAAAAATGTTTAAGTCTAAATGGGATTTCGTGTATTTCAGTTTGTGCCTACTGCCTCTCACCGTGTCACTGGGCACTACCAAAAAGAGCCTGGCACCGCCTTCTTCACACCCTCCCATCACGTATTTACACACATTGATAAGATCCCGCTTGAACCTTCTCCTCTCCTGGCTGAACAGTTTTAGTCTCTCCCTGTATGACAGGTGCTCCAGACTCTTAAATCATCTTTGGGACCCTTCTCTGGAGTCACACTCCAGTAAGTCCATGTCTGTCTTGTACTGGAAGGCCCAGATAATATTTATATTTTTAATTTATTTTCTGTCCTTTTGAATAGAAATCAGTAAATATTTATTTTTAGGCATAAAACATTACTGATCATTGGCAAGCACCTCAGATTTACTTTGGAAAACATAATTTAGACATCAAAAATATTTATCTAACATCAGTAAAAAAAAAAAAATTTAGTAAAATTTGAGAAGTCCATACTGACCAAGTTCATTATATGTTAAAAGGAATAGGTATTATAAAAAAGCTCACCTGTTTAAAAATTCCATTTTAATATAAGATAATAAATACCACAGTTGGGTATATGTCTAGCCAACTAAGTATTTCCAGTGAAAAGTGTTTGTAACCAGAGTAACAAAAAAGTGTGGAAGAGTTTATTTGTAAGAAAAGATTTCTATAACATGTAATCCCACAAAATGCAGACTGTTCTATCATAGCATTTCCTAATTGAAGCATATTAACACACTGCTAAAGTTTCAGAACTAATAAAATTAAAATGTTCTCACTCTTTTTTTTTCTTCTCTGTTAGATAGAAGTAAAATACTTTGAAGTACTTAGTTTTAAAGATCTGTTTGGGAAAAAAAAAAAACTTTAATATACCACAGATCTTCTTCAAAACAAAGCATTTTTCCATCAGTTCTTCAGAATTTAAGTAGTAAATGTATCTACAATTTACCTTGTATACCTGCAGCAGCACATCTGTCCAAGCTCGTTTGCTCATTGTTTCAAATATGCTGTCCTCCAGAATGAATAGATGCTTGTCAGAATTTTTCACATCTCCTTTTTTCAACTCAGCCTTGTGACCCTTCAGATAAAGGAATGAGATTTATGTTTTGATATTAATTTCAGCAGTTTGGATAGGAAATTCACAAGAGGGCAATAATGAATCAATGGCATAAATGACATAACATCTACTGTAGTGCAATAGTGATCAGCATTAGAACGATTTACAGTTTGACTCTATCTCAGGAATAAGAAGCACCAATACAGAATTGACAGGAGTTGAAAGCAGCAATCAGGACAGAGAGCCAACACGTAGGATTTTTTTTTTTTAAATGGTAAAATCAGTAGAAAGCAGTAAAATGAATTCTACATTTGAGAAAGCGTATCTGTTGGAAATTAATCACAGGTATCAGCAGTATTGGGAAGAATGGAAGAGAAAAACCAGAGGAGGAGGGTGTAAATGTTGATATCAGTTTAAATTTCCATTCAGTCTCATGCATGTGCTTAGATTTATGCAATCCAAAACAGTCACCACAGTAGGAATACTCACGGTCCACAGAGGACTTCCATTAGCGTTCAAAGGACTGTCACTAAGCACGTGGTCTTTCTTAAAAAATGAAGAAAAAATGAAACAAAACAAACAAACACCAAAAAACCCCAAACCTACCTTCATTACAGTTTGCACTTTAATCCATTTCTTATAATCATCAGGTTCAAGCAGAAATTCTGGCATAACATGAGGAAGATATGCTCCTTGGCTTCTAAAATCATGAAGCAGCAAAAGTTAATAGGTAAGCAAGATAATTCTTTTTAAGAGCAGTCCAAGTTTTTCAACTTGTTCAACCTATATGTGAGCTCTTCTGAGTACTATCTGAGTATACTTTGGACTAACGATCCAGTTCTATTAATTGCTTTCGACAGCTTCTATTTATGAAGTACATGTTAAATTCCTATGCCTACAACTACATGCTAAAAGCACATACAACTCTTGACAGACTGGCTTCTTTATGAGAATTGCGGATATATGAGGATATATTATAGCACAAAGCAACAAAACACACAATATCCATTTCCATGTGAAAGCCAAAGAACCAGTGTTACATAACATTAGTACAATTAAAACTTGATGATACTTTTATCTGCCTGCAGGTCTGATATTGGAAGTCTTATGGGTGTAAGCAAAGGTATATCAAAACTCTGTTAATTGTTAAACTGACATGTCATCCTCTCTCAGGTGACTAATAAATGCCGGAGGAAAAGTAATTGCAGTAACAAAAGACAACTTCATTAGACTGAATACCAAAAAAAGCTAACTTCCAAATGAAGAAAGACTGTTCTTTATCTCAAATGACAGTTTAAACAAGTATTGCTGGAAAGAGGGGGAAATAATGAAGAATTCTTAAATTTATTTTTCTCAAGGGAGCAGAAAAGTTTCTTGAATTTTAGGTCAGAAATATTGTCCTAGCATATCTAGATTTACATTGTTCTCTGTGTTTTTAACATGGCTAATGTGAATAATAATCAGATGAGCTTTTCTTGTTATATAACCAAATGAAGTGGTCATACAGGTAGTATGTAGTACCATACAGTCCAAATTCAAATTACTTTGTACATTAAAAGGCATACATTATAGTTTGAAACTAGGATCATGACAACTTTTTTCTCTTCCTACAGAATTCTGTTTTGCTGGTAACAGCATATTTTTTGTCTCCATATTGTACATAGTGACATTACCTTCTCAGATTATTGAAATTTCATGTTTCATACAATTATCTAGCATGGTTTTTTAAAACACAAATATTTTAATCAAGGACCCAAAATAGCATCAAGTTACTAGTCTCGTTCTAAAACTCGCCATATCTGAAATTCCCACTTTCCATGAAGTCATAGGCTTTGTCCCATGAAATCCCTTTAAAAATTCATTTCTTCCCAAATGGTAAAAGAAGGAAGCTTTCAATGTTTTTACTTGGTAGATATATGGGAATAGGTGTTATCTACAAATGTTACCCTCAGAAAAGATATATAACAACATTACTTGTCATCATAGTAAAGATGGGTTCTATATAACTGAATGTTCTTATGATTGGCTGCATTTTGTTATTGAGGAATACCGCCTTCAAAAACTTCCTCCTCATTGAGGTCAATATTTAACATGATACCAGTTCTCTAACCACACAGCATCATATCATACTGTGTTCATTTTTGGGCCTCTCACTACAAGACAGACATTGAGGTGCATGTCCAAAGAAGGGCAATGAAGCTGGTGAAGGGTCTAGAGCACAAGTCTTATGAGGAGTGGCTGAGGGAACTGCGGTTATTTAGCCTGGAGAAAAGGAGGCTGAGGGGAGACCTTATTGCTCTCCACAACTACCTGAAAGAGGGTTGTAGCGAGGTGGGTGTTGGTCTCCTCTCCCACAACTAGCGATGGGACAAGAGGAAATGGCCTCAAGTTGCACCAGGGGAGGTTTAGATTGGGTATTAGGAGAAATTTCTTCACCAAAAAGGTTGTCAAGCATTGAAACAGGCCACCCAGAGAAGTGGTGGAGTCACCATCCCTGGAGGTATTTAAAAGACCTGTAGACGTGGTGCTTAGGAACGTGGTTTAGTGGTGGGCTTGGCAGTGTTAGGTTTACAGTTGGACTCAAGTATCTTGAAGGTCTTTTCCAACCTAAATGACTCTATGATTTTATATTGCCACATACTCAATGTCTTTGGAATGACACAACACTCCTTCAGAAGAAGGATCAGCAGGGTTGTATTTGTGAGAGTTTTCAATTGATATGATGGCAAGACATTCTTCAGCAGTCCACTGCCTAATGACTCTAGTCTTTAAGATACGATGGGAAAATACAGTGGGGTGTATCCATCAATTCCTTTATTTAGTATCAGAATGGATGGTGAAGTTGTGGAAACAACTGGAATCTGTAAGCATTGTTCTTCATTACCGAGGAAGGCAAAGATATTGTTCTGCCACTGCTGCAATGGCTCCTCCAAATCATCTGCCAGTACATTATCTATGACACACAGAAGAATGCTAGTCTGTCTCTTTTTAAAAACAAATGACGTGAATGAAATTCTAGTGTTGTTGGAGCAGTGTGCATTGGTCTCATTATGAGTTCAGATACAGTTACATCATTGTCCATTATTCTCAGATGAAAAGCTTCTATTTAGAACAGTACGTAAATGACAGTCTTTAAATGGTTTTACAGCCTCTTGAACACTAGGTGAGGATGCTAAAAAGAAGCAGAGATGCTGTGTTTCAGGGCTTTTGATGATCTGTAAGGATCTCATGACATTGGACTTTCTCTGAAGTTAATTTTCTTCTCTGTTTTACAGCAGCAATAGCCAAGAAGGATAAAGAAGTGTTTATTAACCTTTTTTGATTTGCACCATCTTTGACAGTTGTTCCATATTATGTGACAAGATAAAATTATCTATGAAGGTAGCTGATAGCTAAATCTGTTCAGCAGTAGAAGTAATGCTTCCATTTCTTGGAATATTATTAATATGAAAGACTAATAGATTACAAAGTCTATAAAATTTTTGCTAAAGCCAGTAATTACAGGACAAAGAGCACCAGTGGAATGGCAAGATCATTAATGACAGACCTGATCTGACTATCTACTGAGTCTAAGCAATGAGGTTCAGAGTCATCTTCTTTTTTAATTAAAGGAGCAGAGTTCTTGTGGAATTCCTGAGTTGGATATAACTCTACAAAAGGGCACCTCAATTACTGTAAACTGCAGAGGATAATCTTGGTAAAAATTTAAACCAATTAAAGTTTGTAATACATAAATCTTAGACCACAGAATGTACAGCATAAAGAAAACCCAAAATCTGCTGTATATTGTTTAGTTGGAATTGTGTTTGAAGTATGCTAATTAAAAAAGTGGAAAGAAAAGATGCATGCATGCATATTTTATTATACATGTACTTACTTAAGGAAAGCAAGCAATGTAGAATGCTGGCAGTGGAGCTGTAACATTCGTTCAACTGGATCAACGGGCAATGACTGGCTCGATGTAATGCCTGGCAACAACTGTCCACTCAGATGAAATATCATGTCATAAACAGTCTTAGTATCTTTGCCAAGGTTTTGTTTAACAACCTTTTCTTGCGAAGATGTCACATCACTAAGAGAGAAATTATTATTTTAAATGAACAAAATGAGCTAACATTATATAAATCGCAATTATAATTTTAATAAACATTAATAAACTAGATAAAAACAGCAGCAAGAAGGTTGAAAAGTATAGCACTTTTTCCTTTTTATAGAACTTCATAATAATGTAAGACTTTTGAACTGCATGGAATATTTAATAAGTATAGGTGAAATATTTCATAAATAAATTTGTGTTTGTCACTTCTTTCTGCCAAACATAACTTTGATTTCTATCATGTTTATAAATGCACATGTGTTTGTGTCCCAAGAGATTGGCTTCTTCATTTTTTAGTAGCAAGCTAGATAAGATCAATTAAGTGATGCCACTGAGACTGATACATTTCCAGAGTGTTTGCAAGACTGTTGATTATGAAATTTGCTTTCCCATGTTCCTTGGTCTTCAGAGTATGTCAGGGGGAATAAAGATATATTGTTAAAATCCTTATTTATGCCACCAAAGAACGGACAATTGCTAGAACTGTGTTCATTCCGGGAGGAGAATCAATTTCAGTTAAGAAGGCGACATAGGTTGAACTGCATATTTAACATACACTGCATGACGGTATATCAGAGCATTGTAGTTGGAAATATATTTTAGAAAATTAATAACTCTTGAATGACATTGAATTACATTTTCATATAAACAGCACATAGATGCTACAATATTAATACACAACTGTGCATCAGAGTGTGTTTATATTCCTCAGATCATATCCAAAACATTTCAGTATATATGTTAACATTTGATTAGGCAGACATAAGTTATGAATTACCGTCTTAGTGAATATGGTATTGAAATAGGATTTTGTCCCTTAGACCAACCAAAGAGAGTGAACCAATTCTTAACAGCAGTTAGGGTTTTCTGAAAGAAGATGTACTCCTCTTTATCTTCATCAGGAAAAAATGATAATTCAAATTTATTTTCTCTCCCATGACTTTGACTGTTAGCTTCACTCTCTTCACTCATCGTTTCATCACTCTCACTTTCAAAAGTAGTATCCGACTCTGAATGATACACACAAAAAAAATCCAGAAAGAGTCTTTATTTCCCTATTTTTGTGTAGTACAAAAACAATATTATTTTTAACACACAATTGTTTTCAGAAAACAAAAAACTATCAGACAACAAATGATCAACTTATTTCAGGAGTAAATGATTTAAGTGACATGTACACATCTTGGTCATAGAACCAATTATTCTCTTGGAATCTAATTCACTTTAAAAAAAAAAAAATATTACCCAATCAGAAAAAATAAATTTAGGCATGGCTTACAAAACCACAGACAGCAATCTTAAAGACACAGTCTTAGTTCCAGTTCCAGGAGGTATAGCTTTACCAGCTAGTCAGTCCTAGTTCCCCATCTCAACCACAGAGCATGGCTCAGTAACTGACTTGTGTTCAAACAGTTTATCAGGTATCGTATAGGTATAACTATGCCTACATTACAATCTATAAGCCTTTGGACTTTTCTCCCCTCTGTTAGGCCTTCTTTCTCCTAAATTCTGAGCTGGTCAAAACTTCAGAGCACAAATAACTTAGATGATTCCATCCTTGGTGTATTTTAATACCACTGTTGCAGTTCTAATGCTTCATTAAATGATACAAAAATAAAACTAACTAATACCTTAGTGGATTAAAAAAAAATCTTGTTAGGATTTAAGAAGAAAAAACAATACAAAATGGAGAAAAGAGACTTGTCCTTTATAAGATCACCATGCAGTCAGATTTAAGTTTGTGCAGTTCTGTCGGCTGACAAGATTACTTTCCCCATCTTGTCACTGCCACCTTTGCCAGAAGATATTTCCTTTTCAGATCTGAAACTGAGTTGCTCTTATGAGCTCTTCTTACACCATTCCATTAAAAATGAACCATGGTGGTAAAGAGCTACTATTTAATCTGTTTAACTACCCCTATTTGTCTTGGCAATACCTTAGAGAACGATCACACAAACATCAGCAGATCTGCAAGAGTGGAATCCTAACAGTGATGAAGTTCTAAGTAAGTTAGAAAACCAGCAGCTGAAAGAAGAGACATGTCAACAGCCTCAGATACTAATCACCTGACAACCTTACAGAAGATATATTACTCTTAGTTCATATGAAACAGCACCTTAACTGAGCCGCACTGACAATGGTTGTTTTTATACAGTACTTCATAAATGCAATATAAATGTCAAAGACTCACCTGAGCATACAGCTAAAACTTTGCAGAATATAGCATATTTAGAGAGTGTATACAGTTGGTTAGTTCATGAGTACAGAAACAATGTCCTTCTTAGCAACTAATCCCTTAGGTTTCTTCAGTATTTTTCTGTTGGCCGCTCCATGGATATGTTATTGCAAATGAGACCTTGACTTTTGTTGTTTGTTTCTTTTTTTGTTTCTTTTTTTTTTTTTAACAGTTTGACTGATTCACCTTCCACTCAGTCTGCTAAAAGCAAGGAGAGTTTTTTCTGCTTCTACACTCTAGGCCAGTTTTCCCATTGTGTCACAGGAGAGGACAGCCTCCCCAACATTCATTGATTATATGTACACAAGCATTTCAGGTGAAGCTTACAAATGTGAAACATACCTCTTTAAAGCAGTAAGCTGAAAAACAATTGTAAGAGCTCAAACTGTTTACAATGAACAGCTGCACTGTACCTGATTGAGAATCTTCATAGGTTGAGTCAGTGGTTGCACCAAAGGAACTTGAGGAAGTACTATGGGAAAGTGATTGTGGAGTATAACAAGGATGCAGAACAACTTCTCCACTGCTGCAGTCTTTACTGTCTATAAAACAAGATTACAAGCTGCAGTTGAGAAAATGTATTTTATTGTCTGTGCTCTAACAGTTTATGAATGGATATCTGCTTCTATATTTTCCTATTTCGTGCTTCAATTAATCAAGTAACAGTTCTCATTTGACTCATGATGAAAATCTCACCTTGGTCATTAGACCGGGGACAAAAAAAAAATTATCTGTATATTTTTTTCTATTAACTGTATATTTTACAGGATGGGTCTTCGCACTTGCTGCAAAGCACCTATCAGAACAGCACTAACTCAAGAATTCTGTCATGAACAAAATAAGTAATTTTTTATCACAACTCTGTAATAAGTCTCAACATACCATTAACAAGCTCTTTTAGACTCAACAACACATATTTTACAAACCAAACACAAAAGTATGCTTTATCAATCCATCAGTTCTGTCAGAACATATGTTCTGACATTCTCATGTTGGCCTATGATATGGTTAGAGGACTCTCTGCTATCTATCTCTGACGTCAGTCTCCAGAAAAAGAGTAGAAGAGGAACTCAGTGTAGTTTCTAGAGAAGTAAACACACCAGTAAGAGAAGCAAGAACTCTGTGTGATTACCTTTAATTTTTGATAGCTGGCACTGTTATTCATATTATTTGGAGCAAATAACACAAGAGCATGGTGTCAGATATGTGGAAGCAAAGCCTTCCTGAATAGCTTTCAAAGCCACTGTGTTGTATAGATATGGTTTGGTCACATTAAACAGCATTCCACACCAAGATAGTCTATACAAAACCCCATACAATAGACTCAAGGAATTTAGTGGTAATGACTTGCTTCAAAACTGCTACAAACTGATAGTGTGAACAAACAAATAAGCAATCAATACAGGACAGAAATATTCCATTATTAATGGGAGATCAGTTCTTATAAAATCATCACTCAATTTTTGGCTTAATCCTGAAGGGAAAACCTACAAAGCATCTTCAAGATACAAGCTTGCAAAAATGATCTATAGGTCACAAAAAAAAAAAAAATTTACACATTTTCAAGAGATAACACTTTTCCCCCTTTCCTATCTTCATTTAATTGTGCTATGATCCATGAATGATATGGTATATATATATTCTATATATATATTCTGTACGAAAAAAAAAATAAAAATCATTACCCGTCTTCTTGCTAATTCCTTTTTCAACTTCACAAGTACCAACTCTTTTCTCTTACATAGTCTGAGTAACACGCTTATTTTAAGTTAATGCAGTCTTATAATTTAAATTATGTTAATTTATTGTCTATTGTTTGGGCTGTTTTCACTACTCATACTTTAAAAACTTCACAAAACATTCTTAAGACTTAGGCTTGTCCAGTATTTTCCAATAAACATACCTAATCATTTATATAAGTTTTCCTCATTTTCAACATGAAAACAGAAGCTATTAAACTGTTTTAAAAATTTAATTGCAGTATGAGGAAAAATACTATCTTCATGATAACATCCCTGTTATCACACTGAAAACATTGATAATACCACTGGATATAATATAATTTTAAGAGGTAGAATGTTGACTGCTTACTGCTTCTCAAGATAATTTGTTGATCTGAGCGGTGAAATGCCAAGTACGGGTATAAAGTAAGAAGGCAATTCTCTGCTGCTGCAGCAACTTGAATTGAGAACCTGTTCAAAACAAAATACAAAAGTGATAGTTTTCTATTTAGCCATGGTAATCAAGGTATGTCAGCAGAAGAATAAAAGACAGAATGAAGATGTCCGGACAACTTATTTTCTCTTCTATTCTCATTCAATAGGAGAGTACACAGATGGGACTGCACATGCTGAAATGGTGAAGTTTAGTATAGTATTTCCACTTCATAGTTTTACTACGAGCATGGATGTATCATTAATCGGAAAGTCCAAGAGTTAGCAGAGATTTCATGAAATAAATGAACACTGTCTCTCTGAAAAGAAAAAACAATTAAAATTACAGCTGACATTTATGAGTGTCCTAAAGCACACTGCTAACTTGCTAAGTATAGCCTATAAATTTTGACAAGGGAAGTTTTCTTGAAAAGCGACTTCTATTTTGATTTAACATTTATTCTATAACACTTTGCAGAAATCTAGAATAAATAGATTCAATTTAACAACAATGAGATATTGACTGCAATTGCTAGAACATAATAGAAATTGATGTATATGCTCCAACGTTCACTAGAGTGTCTGTACTGCCTGTAGCAGCCATATTAATGTGTAGCAATCCACCTTTCTTCGTACTTCACCTCAGTCTATCGGGGTGCAGTCAACAAGCAAATTATTGCCATCAATGGATCTCTGTTAGCCATCTGTATGTGTGTTCTTAGCTCATTGCAACTGACAGGTAATTCAACTGAGCTTAGTCCTATGTTATTGCACAACTGGTTTTTTACTCCATGTTATTCACTAACATTAATATTAATTAACTATTTTGACTAAGCTGTCAAAAATATGAAGAAAAAACTATTTTAATAATTCAAACAGCATACTTATATCCAACTTGCTTTATTATGTTGAGAATTATTGCACAGAATAAAAGAAAACATCTTCTATTTTCTTTAAATTACATATTGAAGGATAAATTCCTATTTAATGTTAATTTAGATTAATATTAAAAGATATCACAAGACCTTTCATATTAATTTATAATATGACATAATTATCTTCTACTGCTTTGTTATAGAATAGCATAATCAAGAAAAACAGAAATATTTTTAAAGTGCCAGAAAATAGCTTTTATTTTCTCTTTCATACTTTCTTCTCCAAACACAACATTCCTAGATACCATTTTCAGGGGAACTTATTAAATAGAGAAAGGCTCCAATTAAATCCATAGCCATCTTTCTTATTTGTAAATATTCACATTTGGATTCCAGTTTTACAGCTAGCAGCTATTGAAATCAATAATCCAGCTTTGCAGTGTGGTTTGTTCTTAGGACATGTCAATCCTATTGGAACTTGGCTGGGAGCAGGGCAAGGGCCTTGGACAGTTTCACTGTGTAGTATAGTATTTCTTTTACCTAACTTTGTGCTTTCTGCTTCTATTCAGCAAAAATCT